CTGGGGATGGGGACCCACCTGGAGCCATTCACCAGGGTCCTGTCTGGAGTCTGATCGTCTCCTGAGCGGGCGGGCGGGGGATCTGTACTGTCCAGAGTGCGTCTGGGGACGGATGCTGAGCTGGCCCTGTGGTCGCCTAGGCTCTGCTTTCCGCTGAAACTAGAGCTCTGTCCCATAGACACGTGACCCCTCTGGGCGGCCGTGACAGGCGGGACACAAGGACTTCTGCGGATGGCCGCCGGGCTGTCTTGAGCAGACGACTTTCCATCAGGGCTGCTGACCAGCCCCCTGGGCTGGGCTCCTACCGCCGACGCCTCCCGGTCGGCACGGATGCGGGTCTCTGGGAGCGGGCTGGGGGCTGAGCCATCTCTCCCAGCGGGAGGCCGTCCGGCCAGCTCTGGGGCTCTGCCTTCACGGGTCTCCTCGGCCTGGGCTTTCTGGGGCCCCATCCGCTTGGCAATGGCAGAGGCCACGTACTGACTGGACGTTCTTCTCTGGGGCTTGAGGAACAGGACCTCTGAGGCATTGGCTGCTGGCACTTTCACGTGACGAGTGGCCGCCACGGGTGGCCGGTCTCTCCCCTCCTCCACGTGTCGCCCTGCTTCTCGGTGGGCAGACTGCTGCGGGGGCGGCGTCGCTTTGGGGTCCGGGACAGTGGGCTCTGCCCTGAGTCCACTTTCCTGCTGCTGTGGCCTCGCTGGTGTGGTGGGAGCGGGGGTCCTGTTGGTTGAGCACTCCGGGGGCTGGCCAGAGTGCTTCTCCAGAGAGCCGGACCTCCAGAATTCCTTGACCCTTCCAAGGGATTGGGTTTCCGCGTCGAGAGCGGGCGACGACGGGGCTACGGTCCTGCCCCCGTTCGCGTGGGGACTCACCAGATTCCCTAGCTCGTCGATCTTAATGGCCCCTGTTGACAGCGATACTCCTCTGTCGTAACATCTCATCTCCGATTTCGGAGGGACGATTTTGTACGTCGTGAGGCCGTATTTCAGTCCGTAACTGCACCCTGGGTTTTGGCCCCGTCGATACCACGATGGCGGTGCGGAGCCACCGTGCTTATCCTCGCCTTCCTTTGCCCTCGCTGGCTGTGATGAACTCGCGCTCTTGCTGGCCTGTGTCTGCCCACTGAGGGCAGAGCCGGGCCCCTCACCGCCGTCCTCTGCATTCGGGTTGTGCGTGGGAAAGTCTGCAGCAGTCGCCTTGGGCTCCATTTTGTTCGGACCCCCATCTTCACAGGGGTCGGACGAGGCGGGTTTGACTTGCTTCCCAAGGCCGTGGGGAGGAGCTGCCGAGTCGGGCACGTCTGCCCTCGTCTCCCGCTGCTGGCTGTTCTCCGCCTGACTTTGCAACAGGTGGCCTCCCCGGCCGGCCAGGCTCCCCGGGTCAAAAGAACCAGCATTGTTGTTTCTGTTGGAAAACAACCCCGAATCCACAGGGTCGTCTAGGACCTCCCCTATGAACGTTACTGGGATCGCGTCCTCATCGCTGTTGGGGACCGTGGCATCGGACACGCGGCGTCCAGACACGCCATTCACCGAGCCGGTGCTGGCTGCATAGCCGTCTTCCAGTTCTGCAAAGAAGGACAAACACAAGTCACAGACTGGCATCACTGGCGATGATTCCCAAGCCAATCGCTTAGTGTAACCACACCCTGGCTTTGATTTTCCTGAGGTTCTTCTTGTGTAAGTTATTTATGTGCGTTTTCAAGAGTCATTCCAATTTGTAATCTACACATGCCTGGGGCCCAAGGCTCAGCCCTGCTTGTTCGACAGAGGAAACTGCACGTCCGTGATGTCTCCAGGTACGGCATTCTGGGACGAGGTTTTGCCAACATCCTTCACTTAGAAACTAGTCCTGTAAACCTGAGCCCTCTAGAAACACTGTCTCAGCACAGAATGTGAAGGGGAACTGGGGTTTCGACCTTCAACTTGATCTCGTTCATCAGAAGCGCCACAAAGCACACGGGCGATGAGGTGCCCACGCCTTCAGTTAAGAGGCAGATGACTGAACCTTGGGCGTCTCAGAATTAGCCCTAAAGGATTTAGCGGGTCACTTGATCAGAGCCCCAGGGACACAGGGTGAAAGATTTAGCTCTGTCCACCACGTCTGAGAGCTGAAAAGCGAGTTGACAAAACTACTCATCAGCTCTGCCGTCTGCTTCCTTCTAGTTTTTGTTTTGATTTGTTTTAAGGCATGGCCAATATCTGATTTCTAGATTATTTTCACTGTGTGCCTTTGTTTGTAAGATCAGCCGGTTGTCTACTGAGATCCCATGCGTCTGCTTTGGCCTCACGGTATTATCTCCCCCCACTGTCTCTGTAGAAAAGCAGATGCCCCACCAGAAATGGGTTCACGGTCAGGGCGGTGGGTCCTGAATTTCCCTTCAAGAAACGCCACACATTAGCAAGCAAAGGGGTGGGAGCGTGCTCACCTGTGTCACCCAGTGCTCCCCAAACCCATTTTGGCACTGGAAAACTCTTTGTTTTAAATATTTATTTTTGAGATAGAGAAAGAGAGACAGAGCGTGAGCAGGGGAGGGGCAGAGAGAGAGGGAGACACAGAATCTGAAGCAGGCTCCAGGCTCCGAACTGTCAGCACAGAGCCTGACGTGGGGCTCCAACTCTCAAACTGTGAGATCGTGACCTGAGCCAAAGTCGGACGTTCAACCGACTGAGCCACCCAGGCACCCCCTTTTTCTCTGAATGTGTTTAGAATCCTTCCCGATGTGCAATATCAGTACCATCGAGAGGGATTTTAAGCTGCTATTGAGACATCTCCACAGTGTGGTTAGCAGCCCCGATCAGAGATGCAATCTCCAGAGCTGTGCTCACTTGCTGGCCTCACACCCAGGCTTTCTTCAGACGGACCAGGGTTCCTCCTGCACAACCTGTCCCTCATGGAGCTACAAACCTGGTCGGAAAAAACTACCCCCAGAGTCTCCCAGCACACAATGCGATGGCGAAGCAGGGACTGCTCTCACCTTCCAGGTCCCCGTCAAGTTCCTCCAGGGTTTTCTGGAACTGCCCGGTGATAAAGAGGTCTTCGTCCCCTCTGCAGGCTGTGGCAGCTTCCTCAGGTCTAGGGAAGACCAGAGAGAAAGGGAGGGCATTTATTTCTCTCATTACTGCTTTACTCTTTTCTGGAACGATCTGAGGAAGGCACAACGTGCGGCCAAGTTCACGCAGTTCTGTATCCACGGGGCTCTGGCGCCCTGGGAGCTGCTGGGACACAGACAGGGGGTGTGTGCGCGTGCGCGCTGTAGCGACAATTAACGGCAGGGGCGCCAAGGACAGGGATAACAGTTCCTGCCCTTGGACCTGCCTTCCACCCCCCCCCCAAGACTGGAGAAAGCACCTACCAGGGAGGGATGCCTGCTGTCCCTCTGTGCCGTGTGCAGCCTGCACACGCAAGACCCCAGATGCAGGACTTTGGCGCAAATTATCGTATTATATAAACCTCACAAGCAATTTATAAGGCAGGTAGTGTTACCATCGCTGTCTACAGATAGGGAACCATGTGCCGAGAGACTAAGGGACCCACCCAAGGTCACATGGGCTCCAAATCCCAGGGGGGTGGGGGCAGGGGGGAGAACTGGCCATGCCTGATGCCCAGAGGCACAATGTGGCCCCTGCCACCTGGACATCTGGGAAGATGTCAAGCCGCCCGCCGAGGGGAGCCGGATCTCGCCTTATTTGCGTCACTGGGACAATAGCATCCACGAGACAGCTACGGCCAAAACAATTTCAAAGCAGCTTTTGCAAGGGCCCTTGTCTCTGTGCTCGCCGCGCGGACCACAGAAACATGTTGACGGCAATTGTCTGTCTTCAGTGAAAGCTGAAGGTTTTTTCCGCTGATTGTGAAAATTGAGGACCAATTTCCTTCATTGCTAATCAGGCCCAGATAATGATGCCCGGGGTATGCTTTTTTGCATGATCCTCACTTACGTAGCAAAGTTTGTGTTCTGATAAACGCGTCTTTCTTTCTTGGTGACTGTGTCCTTTTGGGAGCCAGGAAGCAGCTTCCAGATTAGTCTCAGCTAATGTCCTCTGACAACCCAGACAAAAGGGGCCAGTTGGAGATGTGTGTGCATGTGGGCCAATTAATAAGGACCGTAAGGGGCACAAGGCTCTCTTTCTTACTGCTGCTGCTGGGGCTTTAATTGAAGGCATTTTCTTTTTCTTTTTCTTTCTTTCTTTCTTTCTTTTTTTTTTTTTTTTTTTGAATGCATTTTCTTAACGTGTGTTTTTCTCTTTCATGGAATGTGATGGTTTAAGTACACTTAATTTAAACAGTTGACAAAATACAAGGTACAGAAAAAAAATGCAGAGTGATACGTAAAATAGTATTCAAAACTGAAACCAGCACTTTCTAAAATGCTTGCTGTTCATTTTGATGCTTAAAGCCTGGCTAAACAAAATTACATAGGTACTTTTTCTTCAAAGTACTCGTGTTGACTTCGAAGTATGCTCAACCACACCTCTGTATGAGAACAGAATGATATCCATATGAATTAAAAACTAATTTAAAATAAAAATCCCAGGAATGCTATTTTGTACACGTTACACTAGAAACAAGTCACGGAAGCTGATGAAATGCAGTGGGGCCGAGACCCTCACACCCGTTGCTACTGGAAAGCCGTTGGGAACACACATCAAGAAACAAAAACGTCGCTGTAACTTTGTAAGAAGTTCGGTTCCCTCGTCTCTGGTAATTGGCCTCAAGGAAACGATCCTACAGCGGGAAAAATGTGAACACAACGTTGGTCGAATGTAGGTAAAGAGTTCCCACATACCCAGCCATCAGGGTTTGCCTAAAGCACCACATGTTGATTTCAAAGGGCGTTAAAATCGGTCACTATGGTGAATCTGGATTCTCTGTGGAAACACAGATCAATGCTCAAGCCAGCACGTAGTGTGAAGAAATCAAGATACATACACAGAATGATTGTGATGATCTAAAAATAGCACATGCCCGCGCGCCCGGGTGGCTGTTGGTTCAGCCTCCGATTCCTGATTTCGGCTCAGGTCATGATCTCACCGTGTGCGAGCTCCAGCCCTGCGTTGGGCTCTGTGCTGACAGCCTGGAGCCTGCTTGGGATTCTCTCTCTCTGTCTTCTCTCTCTCCCCCTTCCCCACTTGCACTCTTACTCTCTTAAAATAAACAATTAAAAAAATAAAAAAAAAATAGCACATCCCCACGGGCAAGGGAAGTAAAGTTTAGTCAACCCACCAACCACTGTGACTTGTGGAAATGAATGAATTACAGTGAATATTTTATCCTTTTCTGTCTTGAATTATGCTCATTTGGGTACAAAAAGCAGCTTGAACGATGGGCAATGTTTTAGATGGCTAAATTTAAAATAATCCCTTTGGGCCCTTCTTGACCATGAACGAAAAGTCTGTTTGCACAGTAGATTACATTTTTGTTATATGGTGCACGATACTCATGGTATGTTGTGTTTATGTTTTATTTTACTATCATTGCTTTTTTTTTTTTTTTCTGAGAGAGAGCATAAGCAGGGGAGGGGGAGGAGGGGGAGAGAGAGAGAGAGAGACAGAGAGACAGAGAATCCCAAGCAGGCTCCATGCTCAGTGTAGAACCCGATGTGGGGCTCGATCCCAGGACCCTGGGATCGTGGCCTGAGCAGAAATCAGTCGGACGCTCAACTGACTAAGCACCCGGGTGCCCCTACAATTTGATTTTGTTATGAGTGTTTAACAATCCCAGTGAGTAGCTATTACGACCATACCTAGGCGGCCGAGACCAGGCCTGCATGTGAGCTCAATTGTCTTCCTCCCGCCCAGACTGCAGCCTGAACCGCCCCCCAAAAGCCATCGGGAGCCAAGCCCCAAGGTCACAAGGTGTTCCCCGCCCCTCCGCAGTCCAAGCCCCCTTGCTGAAGTGGGGGGACCCTGCTCTGAGTCCCATTCCCTCCTACCTGCTTCTGCTCTCCTGAGCCTGCGTCCCCAGCACCACACAGGCGTCCCCCAGATGCTGTCGCTCAGTCCCGGCTCTGCTGACCCAGCCCCATTCCACCTCTGCCCGCCTGGCACCTCACGTGGTCCTCTGACCAGATCCTCCAGTGTGAGCCTGCTTCCTCGGGGCCCCGCCTGCCCATGGGGACCGAGTAGACACGGGACAGGAGCCACCGGCCTGGGAGGGAGAGTCCACCCATGGTCCTTGGCTGCGCTGTTCCCGAGGCTGCTGAACCTCTGGGGTCTCTAGGCAAGGGGAGAGGCGAGGTCTGGAGGCCACTTTGCTCATGCTGCTGGCTCCTTCCATGATGCAACGCAGGGGGGGGTCCCTGTGCTCTGAGCTCCTGGTGAACGGACTATCTGGCAAAAGCCAACACCAATGTCAACGCATCTATTTTGCTTCCCAATGTAAAATTTCGCGAGGAAGAGACGTGGCGATATCCACTTCTCCTTCCTCCCCCACCCCCCATCTACTGGCCCCCAAAGGGTTAGTCGAGGATGGTAACTACTGCTCTGTCCCTGCAAAAACCAGTTCCAAGGGCCTCCTCCCAGGGTGGGGGGGAAGCCAGCAATCTGGGGGCTTAGCAGGAGAGTTCTAGACCATGTCCCCGGAGTGGAGAGCCGGCCACAAGCGTCAGCGTCTTTGTAGCTGAAAATAACCGTGCACAGGTATCCCTCTCCTCGGCACCTGCCCGCCCCCCAGTCTTCAGCTGGGTTTCCTGACGGCGGTCTGTTTTGGCTGAAGACCAGGAAAATGAATCACAAGCAGTGCTGACACGTTTACCGGCTTGCACACGCCGAGTACCCATCACCAGCAGCGAGCGTGGCTGCAGAGGTTTGCAGGCCACCGCTGCATCAATGCGAGGGACAAAGGGCGGAAGGGTGAGGGGCGAGGGCATCAGGGTGACAGACCCCCCTCCCCCGCCCAGACCCAGCTCGGCCTCTCCAGCTTCAGGTAAAACGACCAGCAGAGGCGATCAGGTCAGATCAGCTGTCAGAAAAACAGGTTTCGGTTTTTTGCTTTCATTTTAGAGGAGAAACAATAAAAGAGCACGGGCTGATTCTGGGCGATTCAGGCACATTTGAGGCCACGTCTCTTTTCGATGTGGCTAAAAGAGCTTCTGCAAGTAATGTATCCAATGGCAGAATTAAAAAAAAAGAAGTCTAAGAGGAAAAAAAAAAATGTCTCTTTCAGGCTGGGATTCAATTTGCTGACAAGCCAACGGACCTGTGCATTTTCAAACAAACTCCGTATGCTAAAGGCAGGAAGCTTGGGGTGCCTGGGTGGCTCAGTCGGTTAAGCGTCCGACTTAGGCTCAGGTCATGATCTCACGGTCTGTGAGTTCAAGCCCCGCGTCGGGCTCTGTGCTGACAGCTCGGAGCCTGGAGCCTGCTTTGGATTCTGTGTCTCCCTCTCTCTCTCTGCCCCTTCCCCACTCATGCCGTCTCTCTCTCTCAAAAATTAATAAACATTGAAATAAAAGTCAGGGGTGCCTGGGTGGCTCAGTTGGTTAAGCATCCGACTACGGCTCAGGTCATGATCTTACAGTTCCTGAGTTCTAGCCCTGTGTCGGGCTCTTTTGACAGCTCAGAGCCTGGAGTCTGCTTCTGATTCTGTGTCTCTCTCTCTCTCTCTGCCCCACCCCTGCTCATGCTCTGTCTGTCTCTCTCACTCTGTCAAAAATAAAGGCAGGAAGCTGGGAAAACACCCGGTTGATGACGGGCATGTGTGCTCAACTTCCCACTCCGCTGACCAGCGCGCCTGTGTTGACAAAGCTGCAGACTTCTAGCACCACGGTGTCCCCTGGGAATGGAAGAGGAGCCACGCACGTCACTTAAAATCTCGTGGTCAAAAAAAACCAAAAATATGATCGTCACATTAAACACCGTGGTAAGGAGACGAAGGGGAGATGAATTACTCTAAGTCTGCTTTTATGACACCCTCATTAGTTAGACTTGATTTAACCCAATACTTAGTCCACACTGTCATCACCACTAGGTACCCTCGCGGAATTGACAGGAAACGCACCTTTCTTTGCACCAAAGTCGGCGTGTCACCCGCTGGGCAAGAGCTCCTGTTCGCAGCAGCAAAGTGTGGTTCCG